GATTTTGTCTAGTATTTACGAATCTCTTATAGTCTCTAATTATGTGGTCGGTACTCTCAATTTTATCTGTAGTGACTGTAGTAATTAAAATATTCAGTTTGTGACAAACCTTCGCCGACGATTTGTGAAGACAATGATAAATCGACAGTTACTTGTGATTTTTCACTGCCTGAGATATGACAGAGTTTGTTGCATTACACATCCACCAAACGAAATGTGAATCACATAAGTATAGAGAATGTAAATCGAAGACATTCGTACCTACTACAGAATCAGAAATTTTAACATAATATCAGAGTAGGTCTAAACAATTTTAACACGTTCAGCGGTTGCTAAACGTTCTATACTATATAATTCTACATCAAGCCTTAAGCATCCATTCATTCCTAAGAAGTAGTTGAATGGGTTCAGGGAAAAGATATGATCCCATAAAAGTTGTGATAGGTTCATGTTACTAAAATAGTGCTACAGAACTAGGAACACAAAAAAGGACGCAATAATCTTAACATTGAAGCCTTTTATCTTCATTAACTTCATTTTTATGTATATTATTTCACTTTAATCTCATGTTATAAATAGTCTCTAACAACGATTAAGTTCTTATCTTCTGAATATTGCGTGCATTATGGGTGCATACTGTATTCACTAAAACCTTGATAAGAAATAATGAATCTGTATGAATGTATCCGAATTCATTAAGGATACAATATTGAATTTTAAATTTTTCTGAATATTGAAACTTTTTATATTTGACTTACATGTTATTTGTTGCTTTCCTAATTGCTTGTTAGTTGCTAAGACATACAAAATCCAATTTTCATAGTTTTAAAAACTTTTTTAGAACACAGCTGAAGTTGTTTTGGAAATGCAACCAAAACTTTTTCCTTACCACAACAATACAATTTTGTAATTTGTGGTATTTGCCTCTATCACAACATGTTTCAACCTAAACCTCAATGGAAGTACAAACAGCACAACTCAGAAATCGTAAAATAAACTTTAGCACTTAAAAAAAATATTTAAGTTTAACCAAACATAATAAATAAATAAATAAAAAGTTTTTAAAAGTAATGAAATTAAAAACAATTAAAAGAGAAACAATTTATTTTATTTTAATTTTAACTTCGATACGTTACATACGTGCTTAGAAAAACCTTTGGATTCACACACCTGAAGAAAATTATATATCACATTAAGCGTATAAATATCAAAATGTCGTAAGATGATTATTTTAAATAAAATATGTTAGATTAGGTTATACCGGCGATATCAAGGAGATCCACTTAGGCCCATAGGCCCATTGTGCTACATTATTATTAAAAACTCAAGGGCTAAAACCATCTAGAACCTTTGACAAAGCTTGTGATGCTATTTAAAGGGAGGTCTCGAAATTCGCCAAGATCCTCAAAAAAGAAAGACCGTAGAATGTTAAAGCGGCCCACGCATATGCCGGACAAAAACAAAGCAGGTGGGAGGCACTTTCATCATCGTCACCACAGTTGCGGCAAACATAGTTGAAGGGGAGATTTAGTCTCCTAGCATAAGTACCTAAAATACAATGACCTGTTAGTAAACCTACTACAAGACTGATATCTCTGCGGGGAATCTCTATGAGAGAGTTGGATTTTCTTTTGTTGGTATGTGGCCATATTGCATACAGGTGCCTATATATCGCGGAATCTTCCCATCTTTTCTTAAAAAGTTCGACACAGGAAAAACTCAATACCAATTTGCATGATGTCAACGAAATGCCCAGATTGTTTCAATGTTCCGAGTGGTTTCCTAAAGCACCCCGTCTGGCCAGCTGATCTGCTTTGCAATTGTTTTAAATAAAATACGTAGAAGAAATTTTTTTTGTTCTACGTTAGAGAACAAAAGTTAGGAAAAAAGTTAGGTAGAAACAATAACATATAAACGCGGAAATGATTGACACAAAATATAGAAGATTGTATCTGAACTCTAAAATTTAGTAGACAAGAATATGTATTTAAAATGATAACATTGGCTATATTGATAACAGAACTTTTCTTCCAAAACTAAGCCAAGGACTATAATTTAATAATTAGAAAATTACAAAACATAGAATGCAAAAGAAAAGAATAGTACATATTGACACAAAAAAAAATACATAAGAAAAAGAATAGTATTACAATTAAAAGAAAAATATTAGTAATTAATTCAATTATTCCACAGCTGGTGAATGATTTCATTCTAATATAACACAGGAAGTAAATTTGTTACTGAAATTGTACAGCAAATCAACAAAAAACTCCATGTTCGAACATAAAAGTCAAGTACGACTTTGGATCAGTTAGCTAATGAACGCTGACTCTAAGCTTCAAGTTTGACAGGGCACAAGTTGTACCCTTGATATTTCTAGTCTCAAAAAAAATTTTTTTCGAATAAATAAATATAAGGAATTATTCCAACACCACTGATCATGGGTATTTGGCAATACTTGAAACAGCTCTATGGTCAGCCAAAAACACAAATAATTAATAAAAAATAAAATCTTATTGTTGTAATTTACTATTGTTCAAAATACATATCTATTGCAAACAATGGATTATATTAAGTATTTAGTTTCTTTAGTCAAAGAAAGAAACTAAATTTTAAACTCTCATAAAAATCAATTAAATTAATTAATTAATTAAATTAAAGTGTTAAAAATTATAAATTTTCCACATAAGACTCTCCACATTATTTAATTAAAGCATTACATGATTGTTAATTTTTAGTAAAGAAAACTAATTCTAAGAAGATTTAAATAATTCATTATAATCTATATTCTAAGCCCTGTTGCATCAATAAAAACTAGTATGGAACCTATTTTACAGAGTTTTATTGCCTCTTCCGTAAGAATATACATTCCCAGGAGCCTATTCCATATGTGCATTAGCGCAGGACATTCTAACAGCACATGTGTAGCCAACTCCTCATGCTCTTTACATAATCTACAGTTTGCATCCGTATGTATACCCAGTCTCGTAAGATGGTATTTTAGTTTACAGTGTCCTGTTAGAATTCCTGTAATGAGTTTTTCTTTTGATAGGTTCATACAATCCTGGTATCTCTTATTGTTCTACGTACCAATAAGTGATTTGGATTGTGTTAATCCTGTATATTATCCCAGTAATTCTTTTTATTCTGGTTGTCCTTTATTTTTATGAGAGAAGGAGCGTACTATGTTTTAGTCCACAAAAAGGTTCCGGCCCCATCATCAGTGTGGCTGATCCTTTCCCGGCCAGTTTGTGTAATTATTATAATAATTATATTATTATTATTATATTATATTAAAACAAATAATTCAGCATTTTTGAATAAAACGAAAATTTATTTAAATATTAAAATCCAAAAAATCTACTTCAACTTAACATTTACCATTTCCATTCACTTCTATTGTAACAAATTCCATTTTAATAAATTACTTTCTTTTTGTAAGTATCCTCAGTACGTTGACGTCAAACATTGTTTATTTCTTGTCAGAGTTACAAACTTGTTTGGATTTCTTTCACTTCATTTCTTTGTAAATAAAAAGATACAAATTAACTTTAAAACTCGTATAAAAAAATAAAATTGGCACAAATAACCTATCTTTCCATTTATCGAAGTGCAAAATGTGCACTGACATTTAAATAAGTACTCTTGCAATTTACAAAAACTTCAAGGATATTTAGAATGTTTACAACGTCAATGAGAATATCGAGTTCTATTTATCGGGACATTCTTCTCATTCCTTACATAATATATATTGACGTTTTTCCTTCTTTTTATGTTGCGATTTTTCCTTATATAAATTTTTCTTTATAAAATAGTTCTTATATATGTAAATGCAGTACATTTTTATAAATATATTTACGTTTATATTATATTACTTCTTAAAACTTTCTTATCAAAAACAAAACTTAATTTTTCAATTAAATGAAATAATCAATAATTTATTAAAATTTTCATAATTTTATGCTATAATTAATTCATTAAATGAATAATTTTTATATTATTATTATTTATTAGAAATTTATTAGAAATTGATGTATAAGTTTAAAAGAAATTTTATTCACGATATGTATATATATTTTCTCTCATAAACCGAATAGTTTTGTGTCGAATACTAACTTTTACAATATAATTTGTTAAATAAGCTGCTATTGATTTTAATAATGATATTGCTATAGTTATAGTTGGCGTCAGTATCTATTATATTTTTGTCACAACTTTCCCTTAACATTTCAATAATGCTGGTTGATGTTAAATGGTGCTGTTACTTGTCTAACCCAAGAGAACTTGGTCGGCAAAAACTGCTTTAGACTTATTGTCACTTACACTGACGTCGTGTCTGAGACGGATTTGACCAGAATTTCTTAAAATGATGATTCTATTATTGAGTTAGTTCAGTGGTTCTTTCGAGAAACCCTGTTTTCAGTTGTACTATAGATCTATTCATTTGTTTGTTGCCAACTTAGACTTAAATAAGACGCTTATGATAATTATTTGTTAAATATTTGTTAAATATATATTAAAAAATATATAGTTTATATTATAGTGACATTTATATTAAAATAAATGTTAAGTAATAAAAAAAATTATACATAGTTGCGGTAAATTTTATAATATATATATTTATTTACATTAATAATGTAATTCTTAATTCACAATAATAAAAGCTTTATAATGTAGAGTTTTATACTTATAATTTTAACTTACACAATATCTTAAATTCTATGATATTCTATTTTTTTTAATTTTAAGTACAATAAACAATTAATATATATTATCTCTACTATTATATATTCACATTATATATATATAACTTTTATATACACATTTATTATATTATACAATATTTTATTACTTTAAGTACCAACAATTTTTTTTTGTTTTTAATATAATTTTTTCATTAATGCTTTAAATATATACGATATTGTTCATCATTTATACATATAAAATTTTCCAAGAAAATATTTAATATATTTTATTAAAAAATTTATAATAATGGCAATAATAAATAATAATAAAAGTAATAAATACTCATTCTTAGTATCAAGAAGGATACCACTCTTAGTAGTATCACCATTGATATTACTATATATATTATCAAAAAAGGAGCTTCTATGATGATGAGGTCAAAAGTCGTCCCATTTGTGAAAGCATGGCCGATATATAAAAACTTATTTCTAATTTTATTCTAATTTTATTTTATTTATTGACTGGAAAATATTTTTAAACATAGCTTGTAAATGGACTTATGGTCATAATAAAAAATTTAAATAAATAAATTACATGTGAAACTAAATATCACAAATTACTGAATTAGTTTATGAATATAACTCATATTATGTTTCATTTCAAACTTTAGTATCGCATTTGAGCGGGTGGACCTGATGATGCAGCCATTGCTGCATCATACGAAGGTGGATTCATGGCATAATTTTGACCGAGTGTTGATTGAAATGGATTCATACTGAAATAAGAAATTTCATTATTTTCTATATATTATCTCTAATATATTACATATATATTACTTAATACTTACATTGATTGTTGTTGCATTCCATTCGAATGTATTTGCATTGGAATTGCCACATGTGATCTTGAGAAGAAATTAACGTTCAAATTAATTATTATATTATTAATAAAAAAATATTAGTACTTACGGTTGTTGATGTACAGTGGAAACATTTGGTGACATTTCCATAGTTGGATAACCATAAGGTGCTGTGTGTGAAGCTGATGTTACTATTACTGGAGCTGAATACAAATAAAGATATAAATATTTAATGGCAATAATTCTTAACTGTTCATTTTAATATTTTTAATTAAAATTATGTTTCATAAATTTTACACATATTAATTTTAACAAATATTTTTGAAAACGCTATATTCTTGCTCGATATTGTTAAAATTTAACACAAATAATCAAAATTTTTTAAATTCTGTAAACAATAATTTGTAAATACATATATATTGCTATATATTTTATTTTATATATTAAAATGAGATACATAAAGTTTAATTTAAATAAGACTTTTAAAATTTAACAACTAATTATCATTACTAGAATAATTTTTAGGAACGACCGTTAAAACTAAAATGAAATCAATCGTATAGTATGAAGGAGTTATATTTTCGATTTATAATTACTACTCAAAACACGTCTTAACCTAAAATATCCCCAATATCGCAAAATTTCGTTCCTCCAAAAAATAAAAATTATCAGGAGGGAATCAACCCAAATAATTCTTTAGTTAAAAAAAAGAAGTAGTATATCAAAAACGATCCATATGAATAATGTGTTACACTATTTGTAAAATTTTTCCGTGGTTTATAATACATATACTTATACTTAGCAACTCTAACAACAATCTTTCAGCTTAGCACAATCAAAAATCTGGCGAAAGATCGTTTGAAAGATCTTTTGTATTCTGGCAACGGTCTTTTGCCAAACTGAAAGCTCTTTTCGGTCTTTCTAAAGACCAAATAAAAAATCTGCTATTGATCAGATCTTTCGATTGTCAGTTAAGATTTTCTTTGTGTTTTTCGTGTACTAATATTTTTTTATATAAAATAAAATACATAAAAATTAAAATTAATAATTAATCAATATAATTTATATAATTTATATTTATATATAATTTATATCAATTAATTAATATTTTATTTTTAACTTTATTTTTAATACAAAGCAAACGTAAATATATTGATACTATACTGTCTTTATAAAAATTTTAAAATATATATTTTAAATATTTATATATAATATATATATATTTTTAATATTTAAATTCTAATATTTATCTATATATATTTTAAATTGATTTATTCTTCTATTTATAGATATTTAAGCAATAATTTTAAAATTAATTAATTTTGTTAATCACTGTTATGTTAATGCAGCAATTGTTATTAAAATTTCTTTCTTGACATGAGTTAAATTCAGTTAATAACTATTTATGTATAAATAATAATAATAATGAAACATACATCTTGGAGCTTTCCATCACATTTGTATTAAAATTCATTTGTTTATTTGCATGGGGTAGAGATTAGCAGCTGTTTTTGATTTCACCACGAAAGATGTTGGACCAAAATAGGTTTCTACCACAAATTATGTATGATAAATCCTTTCTTGAAAGACTTTTGTACCAAAATAGCTAAAATCCTACAAACGGTTCTTTGGTCGATCTTACAGAGGTCTTGGGAAAGATTTTTAACGATCTTTGTCAGCATTGCCCTGTTAATATCACATACAATACCGCCATCTAGAGAGTAGCAACAATTGTGTTCTATAGATTAACTCAAAACTGTATAATTTTGATATTTCAGTTGGCTTGATAGATTTTGAGATACTCTGAGTAATAGTTACTTTTTGGAAGGCGCCGAATCTAATGTTCCCATTCCTTCATTCAATGAAGTGCTTGCAATTTAAAAAATTTTAGCAATTAAACAACAAAGTATGTGGACAATATGCGTACATCTTTATATTCTCTGAAGATATCAACGAATCACTAATGCGTATTTTATATGTGCACTGACTTTTATATATTGCACTGGAAGTTAATATTCATTTACGAGTATTTACGGGTATTTTATCTAATTAAAGCACGCGAACTCAATATACGACAGTTATTAATGAACGAACAAAAATTTTTATGCACGTTCATTAGATGTTTTTTTAAAAACGGTAATTATTTTTAAAAATGTAAATATAATTTCACAATTCTTGTATATGAGGGGAACTCCCAACCGATTACAGAGAATACTGAATCTTAGCTTACGTTAAAATTTACGTCATAAAATGCAAATAAAATTATATTTTGTACAAATAAAATTGAATTATTTTTTCAATATAGAAATTTATTAGATGAAGATTATTCTGTTTAAAATAAATATCTTTTGTATATTATATATGTATTTATTAATTAATAAGTAGGTAATAGTTTATTGGTCTAATACTGTGCTTTACTGAATGAGAGACGACTGATGTAATTGTCTTAATAATTGAAAATGTGATAAATAAAAATAGTAAAAAATATATAATATTCAATTTTATATTTGAATTATTATTTATTTTTTTTTATAGACACAGATTGTTCAAAAATAACGAAATAATCTTTCCAAGTATATTTTCAGTCATTACTTTGACATGTACATTGTGACCGAAAAGTTTCCGGAATAAATTAAATAAAACGCAAAATTCTTAATCTTCATCAATATTTATTTTATCTCCTTCAAAATATGCTCCATTAGAAGCGATACACAAATGCCAACGTTTCTTCCAATCATCAAAACATTTTTTATAGGCGCTTTCCGGTATGGCTTTGAGTTCCCTCTGCGAATTCTGTTTTACGTCTTCTATGGATTCAAAACGCGTTCCTCTGAGTGGTAATTTGAGTTTGGGAAACAGGAAAAAGTCACACGGTGCAAGATCAGGTGAATACGGTGGCTGTTCGATGGTATTTATTGAATGTTTGGCCTTAAAATCGTTGATAATGTTGGCTCGGTGCGAGCAAGCCGAGCGTTGACACGTCGCATACACAAATTGTCCACCAAAATCAAACGAGCCATCTCACGACCGATGCCTAGCTCTCGTGCTATCTCTCTAACACTCACATGAGGATTTTGGAACACGATTTCCTTTGCCTTTTCAATGTTTTCGTCGGTGGTAGAGGTCGAAGGTCGTCCAGAACGCGGCATGTCTTCGACGGTCGTACGACCGTCCTGAAAGGCTTTGTACCACTCATAAACTTGAGTTTTCGATAAAACTGATTCCCCATAAGCCTTTTGTAGCATTCGCAACGATTCTGCACACGAAATTTCGTTCGAAACACAAAATTTGATGCAAACTCTTTGTTCAATATTTTTTTCCATTGTTTTTTTCGCAACGCACTACTGAGGGGAACTGGTTTCAACAGCTGCCGTAAACGAACTGTCTGACAGATCGCGCTCATTTTTGGCATAGTAATTAAGGACAGTGCTGCCAAACTACATAAACTTAAAATATCGAAAAATATACAGCGCGCGAATTTTAAATGAGAATTTCCGAAAATCTTTCGGTCACAATGTACATTTGTTACTAATTTTGTGTTTTGAATTTGCTTAGATAAAAAATATAGTTTAATCCCAAATAGTCATTAAAATTCATTAAAAAAAAAATATGTATATATATTAAAATATATACATTTTAATATTATTTCAATATCTTATAGAATAACGTCCAGCAATAATGTACTTTCTCTGTCATTGCCTAGGTTTGGACAAATATGAATAAAGAGGTTTACCTTAGGCACAATTTTTAAAATTTTCTTCCTTAGCTTTAAAAAAGAATGATTTTAATGAATTATTAACAGCTTTGTCTTTTGCAAGATGATTTTGAAAAATGTTTAAAATATTCTTTTTTTTGAGAGAAAACGGAAGGAATTTGAGAAGGGGTGCCTACGATAAAAATTATTATCTATTTATTTTTAAATTTATTATGGACAAAAAAATGATGCCTCTTAAATTCAAACATTTTCATCCTCCATTCAAATCGCTTAACTTTTCGGTTTCAGCCCCTTATTGAAGGAAGTATATATATACTAATATTCACGTTTCATTTATGTGTAAAAGTAAAGGATTTATAAATTATCATTTAATCGAAATTTGTTGTTTTTAATAAAAATAAATATTTTATTTGTTTCTGTTTTTATTTTGAAAATTTATCTTTTTCATTTATTACTTTTATGTCGTTTCTACTTACAACTTAAAGTTTCCCCATATATTTTATGTTCCATTCTGCTTAAGTAATTACAAAGGCAGGAACACAGTAGAAAACATATCACCATTACAACGGCCATTGTTAAAAATGTATGAAAATTAAAAGCCATTTTAATCACTTTTTCTAATTCTAATACAAAAATATATTTTTATTTATTTTTATTAAATATTAATAAATTATTATTATCATATGTTTATTCCGCGCACTTAAATAATGTACATAGTCTTTAAATAGAATATACTAAACTGAACTTCTGAAAAATGTAAACCGCATTTTAATGCACTCCCTGTATTCTGAGAGAGATTTTTTAAACAATTGTTTAAGTCACTTTAGTTGTTAGTAAATGAAAATAATGGTAATCAACAATTAATCGGAAATTTGTTTAATTTTAAGAGTAGCTGACATACAGGTTTAGAGAAACTGCCATATGAAACTGAGCTTGATGTGTTTATTATGAAATTATTTTAAATTATATATTATAATTATAGTAATTGGAAAATCCATTATTTTTTCGAAAATAGAAATATTTTCTGGAAAAGCAACTTTTAAGACTTTATAATTAAATGTTTACGTTTATCCAAAATTTCTTAGAAATTAAGTGAAATGTTAATATAACCTATTATATATTCTCAGTCAATCAGATAATTTAAGCTTAAATCACAACATGATTCATCTTTCATAAATTTCACTTCAAAAACTCAATTTCTATTTATTTTTATAAACTAATAACAATAACTGTTTGTGCAGATATATACATATTTTAAATTGTTTTTGTACCCTACACATATAAAAAAATACCGTTATATATTGAGGTGATTTTGTGAAACCCCTATGAATATTCAATGACAATAAATGGGTTTGGTGAAGATATAAATTAAAAATAGAATTCAAAATATTTTCAACGAGTTAAAAAAAACTACGGAAACCACATAAATCATATATGTTTTCGATCAGCAAATAGAGACAAACCGAGCTACCCATATTCTTCTGTCTATTCATTCATTTGGATGTCATAATTAATTCACTAAGTAGCAACAGAAATCGAATTAAACTCAATATTGACCCATTGTGTAAGTTCATGGAGGTAAAATTCGAATATAAATGAAGTGGGTTAAATCTAAAATGTACCGACGTCTAATAAAACATTGTAGAAAAAACGATAGTGTTATTAAAAATAATTCTAATGAATTATGCGTCAAAAGCAAATAAATAGTTCTTACGTAACACCCAGTTGTCTTTTCATTATTGAAAAATTTTAAAATGGAAATTATTATTGAAAAAGAAAAAAACTTTCTCAAAAAAAGTCATATTTAATTAAAATAACTAAAGGAATCTTAAACCAATATGCTGTGCTCTAACCTTTTTACAAATAAATAAATAAAGCAACTTTTCAGTATGGGCTATGTTATGCAGACAGTCATGGTCACATCAAATACAAAACTATTCTTGTTGTACTGTACGCTAAAAATATTACATAGCGAGCCCATGGGAAAATTTGATTAAACTTTGGTCACGATAAAAAAACAATGAATATCAGAATTTTCGCGTTTTAAGACAACTACTAACATCCATTTCTAACGAAAAATTGATCGTTTCAACAACGGTTGACTTGGTGTACTTTACTTATACTAACAATTATTTTAAAATATTGTTATATTTCTATTATCATGCATTCCATTTCTCAATTATTTTGGAGAACTGACAAACTAAAGAGATGGTATAGTTAATAAGAAAATGAGTTCGGTGGAGTACAATGGAACTTAAATGATTTGCAGATATGTTTGTAAAAGAAAGCTATATAATAAACTGAGTTTTTTATTTGCATTTTTAGTCATAAATTCCCCTTATCACTGATCAAATTAGTAAATAATAACAAAACTAATTTGAGCGAATCATTTTGCCAGATGCTTTCTAAGAAAATCTATCAATTTCAAAAGTAGAGAATTTGAGTTTTTGGTCAAAAACTGCATCTACAACTAGTTACGAAATGCAATCGACAAAATTGATTGTGATGCAGACTCTATATTTTAATATACTCTTTGTTTATATTCCATTCTAAACAAAATGCATTTAAAGTAAAAATGGGTATTGTATATTATTTCCATACTACATTAATATCTTAGGGAGTCCACAAAAGTTTTTCACTGGTATCTATTTTGTGCTATTGCTCTTACTTCGTTAAATGAGTTATCCGCCTCTTGGTGAACTGTCCTTCTCTGCGTCTAGTCATCTAAGAGTTCCAAATAACTGCAGCAAGCGCGATATCTTCATAAGGTTTACCCAGTGTGTGTCTAATCCAACCATACTTCTTTCTTCTTATCTCGTTGTTTACGTTTGTTTGGTGCGTTATTCTCCATAACTCTGCATTTGAAATCGTTGTAGGCGACCATATATCTTATATGTTGCGCAGGCATCAATTAATAAATGATTAATAAATGATCATTATTAATGATGATTCAGTTCTCGAAAATTATAGGGCATCAACCTCTAACTTATAGGGCATAGAAGCTTAATTTGCAAAAACTGTATAAAGTCATAACAATATATATATAAAGAAAATTACTGACTTCATGTACATGTATTCATCATTTTTTGAGTAGGTCCACTTAACAAAAAACAAATAAGAAATTGCATATATAAATAATTTATTAATACATTCACTAAACTGTACTTCATTTTTTATGTATTATCTTACATTAGATCACAACAATAACTATTTTTAATGATTTATTTAAAACTGATTTTTAAGTTTAAACATATGGGTTCTGCAGTTTACATATCAAATGGAGTTTTGATATTCGTGAAGCAATTCATTTGTGCTATTTTCGTATGGCATAGATCGGAATACATTTCACTTCTTTGAATGTCTAATTCACTGAGTGCACTACTTAAACATTTAAATGTGCAGACAGACATATTTTTATAAAATTTATATATAATAATAATATTTCACAATAACACAATATCGTATTCCTTTGGTTCGTATGAAAGAATGTGTAGCACATTTCATTTAGTACAGGAAACACACCATTGAAGACACATTTTTGCAGGATAGTTTTAATGGAGACAATGTACACATGGAGACAAATATGAATATAAAATCCTATAACTTATATGTTAGATTGATTGTGCAACTCTTTATTGTGCCGTATAACTTGGATTGTATGGCGCTTGTTTTTCGTAGGCAGATTGCTTTGGATAACGAGCACCAGCCACGGCTACATCATATGATGGTGGATTCATTGCAGAATTTTGTGCTGCCATCGGAGGGTAAGGAGCCATATGAGGTTGCATTCTGTAATCAAAATATAATGTTTAAGCAAAGTACTTTTCATATTGTTATATAGACCTCCTAATAGAGGTCTATATGCAAAACTGTAGGTCTATAAACAATTTAGTTATTACTTACTGTTGATGAGGGGGATAAGATGGCACAGTTACATTTGTTTGATAACCACCTGGCGGAGGCATTTGTGTAACTGAATAATCACCAGGTGCAGTATGTGTAGCTGACGTTACTACAACAGGCGCTGAAAGTAATAAAATTTTGATGAAATTAATAAGATTAATTCATATTTCATATTAATTTTATGTTTTATAAACTTAAATTAATTTTCGAAATTTTAAAAATATTAATAAACCATAAAAATTATATTAAAATAGAATGAATACATAAAACAAATATTGCGTTCATAATTTTGTAATGTAATTAAATTTTGATTACTATTTAAATCCTCATTTTCAACTTTATATTTTCTCTTATGAAAGCGTCGAACTAGAATAAATCCTATTAAATGCATAGAAAAAATAATTAGTAATTTGATACACAAAACTATTAGTTTTCCTAAAACCCAACCAGATGCAATATATGGTTTATTATGAAAAATCTCGGTTTGATTATCATGTGAATAGGTTGAATTTACGAAGTCCTCAGGTAAATTTTGAGTTTCTTGCTCCATACTGTATCTACTCAATGGATCTGTTATTACTAACATTTTGAATTTAACATGGTAGATAAGATTGGTGCACTTATTTCATTAACTGTTAATTTGACGTATTGACTTGCATTAATATGCGTAATTTAATATATTAAATAATACATTAATAATAATTAATATAATTTAACATAATTAAAATGAATGAGAGATTAATAAATGAGATGAATTCATTTTCTTTGAATGACAATATTAAAATATGAACGTTACTGAAGGTACAATATTTCGATTAGTTTTTTTGTTAATCAATTATTTTTTATTACATACGAGTACTTTTAATAAATCGCAAATTATCCTCAAAGAAATAATAGTCTATGGTATATTTATTTGGTAGATATATATTAACAAAATGACACTTAAATTGAGCCTTATGCCGCATATGTAGCAGTTCGTAAATTATTTATTTACATATTCAAATATGACATCACTCAAAAAGTTCAAATGTATATATCTGTCATATATAAATATATATATGTAAAACTAAAAATGATAAAATGATATAATGATAAAACCGTTTTATTTATGAATAGTAGCATTCTTCAAACGATACACATCAAAACTATATGACACTCTGATACTTGTAATTAGTTTAGAGATTTCAGTGGTCTTGGTGACCACAAAAATAATTTGGTTCAATCCCGGTTCAATCACACCACATGTTGGTTTTTCAATCTTCTTGGCCACATGATCTTGGAGCTAAAATTTTTCTAACAAAATGATCAGAGTTAGAGTGTATTTTACTGAGTGAATATGCTGTATAAAAATTAGGTCGTAAGAACACCGATAATTCTGACCGCTCTAGTCGACCAAAAGCGACAGACTGGAGAGTTATTCAATGATGTTTGAGTTCTCCAATTTTTTGAATACATTTTCAATGCGTCACAATTAATTGTTTAGATGCTTTTAGCACATATTCACAAACCTCATTTATTCAGTGTTAATAGATACATAAATATAAGTTTTTGGAACCGATTGACTCATTCTATGACTTATATTAATTATTTGAAATAAGATTGTAAAAGTTGTAATTATATTTTTAATGTAAACAATCAAATACAGAGCATTATTCACAGAGTATTGAAATGTGATAACAAATATTTTAATGCGGCATTTATAAGAATCTATGCCTTTTTAACGATTTTATACACATAAATTTTGTTTAACAAATTTGATATGCAATACATTTATTAAATATATTTAGTAATTATCTATCATTTTAATATATGAAATGTACTAACTTTCACTTTTACATTGTCTTAGACGTCGTCTTCTCACACACCAGTGTATTAAAAATATAAATTGTAAAATAATAGCACAAATGTATAATAAAATAAATCCAGAATTGTAAAAGTCAGTCATTATATTTATATAGAGTTTTAGGTAAAACGCAATAAAACTTGCCGAGAACTGCTAAGAAAATAAAACCAACTTTTCTCGACACGAGCAATAAATGAACTGACAACTGAGAATTGCAGTTTTATTTACAATTCATAAATATCAGAAACAATCTTGCATAGCAGATTTACTCACAAGAGCCGGAAGAAACATATGGAAATCCCACACTCATTCACACCGGCAACTTCTAAATTTCACAACAGAATTTGTTGAGAAACGCAGATATTGTTTACGTTTTCTGCAATTCTAAGTACTCACTATTTAGATAGATTTACGTCTCTGATGACGTTGTAGAAACAAGTTTTTAAGTGATATATAGACTTACTTATAAAATATAGTTATGTAAAAACAAATAGAACTTTACTGTTGCTTTTGATTACGTTTTAATAATTAATTGAAATAGCTGGGCATGAAAATAATTTTATAAAAATACTTATATAAAAACTTTTAAATTAATTTAAAAGGTTAAAATTTACCATACACTTATAGAAAATTTTATTTTATTCACTGACATTGATATACTTCCAATCGTATATTTTTTATATAGCTTAACATTAGCAATAACATCAGAACGACATCCTCAGGAACATCAAGATTGATCCCATTAAAAAATAAATGATGGAGCCCTGAAATTATTTGCGAAAACTGACAGACTTACCAACACCAATCTCTGAATAGTTACAGGCTGCTCGGGAAGTTATGCTGATCTTAGGTCAATTATTGCTTAGTCTGATGATGAGAATAATCTATTAACTATTCACTTTTAATAATGGAAGTAGCTGTAAGCTACTAAAAATGGATTTTTTATAACAGTTAGTATAAGGTAGGTTAATATAACTTGTCTTCCCTGACATTAGGGGGATATCCAATTGGCCATAGATGGTCTCCGAGCAGTTGTGTTGATATCCATATTAACAATCCAACATTATGTTATGTTATGTTGGCTTAACTTATTTTTTGAAATGAACCATACAAATTTTATTATATGAGTAGACTTAAAATTTGGTTAAAATCAACATATAAAATGCGAACTTACAGAATACACATATGCGCATAATAAACACATGAATATAAAAACCGAATTTTTTTTTATTGGTAAATAATAAGACCATACTTTTAATATACCACTATTGATCAATTACAGACCAGTCATAATAAATTAATGAGTAAAATCATAAATACTATAAAGTAACTAACAAGTAATGATATACGCTGTTAACAAAGGACATACTTTCGACAGTTATTTAACGTGTTTACCTGTCACGATGGTTTTATGCCACTCTGCTCTTTACACACGTATCGGCATAATATGTCGATAAACATCCAATTGAAATGGCAAAGAACTCCTCTTGTACCAATTGAAGTTATATATATACCTATTAATACAGTTTCCTATTTGGTGGCCTACCTAACACCTCTGCTGTTCACTGAGTCACAGCATCTGGTTGGAAAATAAAACTCCACATCAAAATAAAAGAAATGAATGCAGTCATTCTACATGCATATATTTGGGTTTCAACTATAGCCACTCTGACAGCCGATGCTGTGAGTCTTAACATCCATGGTACTAAATTTACACCTCTGATCGTGTGCCGCATATGAAACTAAGTCATTAATATGACTTAAATTTCTTAACTTAAATTAATTAATTATTAGAATGGTTCCATATATATAGTCCATATATAATTTATTTGGACTGCAAGTGCCAGGTTTAAACTCGTGCCTGTCAAATTAGAAGCAATGTCTAATCGTGTGTTTCTAGAAGTAAACGTAAATGACAATAAAAAAGTTAAAACTCACTATTTCTTTGTATTTATTTGTCGAGACATAAATCAAGTCTTTAATCAGAACGGCATTAAAATGTTTTATTATAAGGCACTATATAAAATATTTTTTATACTAGATCTAAAAAAAAAATCTAGTCATTATTATCATTATGTAATAGATTACATAATAAATATAATTCAGCATGTAATAAATGAAGCCATATATATTAAGTCTGTTTTTACAAATAGTAAAACTGAGTTTATCACTTTCTATATGTTTTTAATGCAGAGAATCAGAGTTTCCTTCTCACATACAGCTCACGGATAATGCTTATGCGGCCCGCCACATGTTTCTAATCAAGCCCAATAACGCAAATTTTATTTTAGTTTACTTTGGGAAAATTTCATTATTTAATTTATATAGTATACCAAATAAATGTGTTTAAATTGATAAAACTAAATTTAACATTATAACTGTATTTTTATTTTTCTCCAGAACAACTATGGACAACCCCGCTTTACACCTTGTAATACTTATATATATATATATGAATATATATGTATTTATTATAAAAATAATAATTGACTTCGTAATAATTATTTTGTTATCCAAAACAAAAAAAAACTATTAAATAAAGCTGTTTTTATAAAACAAAAAAGAAACAAATTGTAGAAGTTATCAAAAACTATGAAAACTAATGCAAGAGCATCAGAAAGACTGTGTTCTATAATACACATTTTGGACTCGAAAAGTCTACATCAAAACATTAAGGCTTTGAAAAAAAGGGAGAAACAACGCAACTGATATTTCATATATAAATGGGAATAAGTTTTATTATAACTAATCTTCATACAAATTCCGTATGAAATGTGAGTGACATCCTTAACTCCATTCCAATGATCTATTTCAAAAATTGGATAAATGCTACTTAGGTTTTTGTACCTGAAGTAATAGCTTTCAATATACAATCAAAATCTCTAAACATACCAATCTATACTTTATTATAGAAATAGATAACATATAATAAATTATATTAAGAAAAAAAATTTAAAGAAATATAGAAAGTCCAATAAAGAATAAGCAACTATTTATATTAACGATATTTGATTAAAATTTTTATTTCCTATAACAAAAAATCTATTCCAAATAAATAGGAGTATGATAGTAAAAAAAGTTTAAAATTTAAGTTTTCAATCAAATGCAGTTTTGGGAGACCATACAGGTGTTTGAAGTTTTCCCAAATATTTATTATTAGTGGTCCATGGAAACATCTGTTGACTTAGTTGTCCATAATTATTTTTTAGACTACAAGTATAAGTACAAAGAATATAACTCTATCAAATTTGAACTATGGACTCGTATATAAAACACAAAATCAGAGCATTTTTAATTCGGATTATGATCAATTTTCGTTATTTATTCAAAAACAATAATTGCGATGATTTTTATTTCTTTATAAATCATATGAATATATACCTCACCTTGATACTGAAGTAATAAGGAATATGCAATAAAAATAATCCTACTTTCAATGCTCAAAGAATGCATAACCACTACAATTATTACAACTTAATATCTCCTTCTGGAAAAAATGATGTGTCATAATATAAGTTAGTTGGTTCTAGTATAATTTATAATATGTAAAGATCAGATAAAGTTATTCACGATGTTGATAACAACATGTGATAATCATTATAGTATGTATTATTTATAACGTAATTATTTGAGTTAAATATTTATTAGATTCCTGTAATGTATTAACATTCAAAATTTATAATCTGTAAGTCAATAGAAGATTTGAAGAAATAGATTAACTTTGATTGCACAGCGATATAAAATTATTTTTACTTCTTAATGTCACATTATGTTGCTATTTTTGTTTAGATATTTATTAAGTGAGACTATTAAAATTACCACTTATAAAACTATATTACACTAATATATTTAATTAATTTACACGAAATGAAATTAAATTATTAATTTATAATTTTTTACTAACAAACTCGTTTAATGCAGCGGTAAATACATTTGCAAAGCGGCCATGTAGTGCAAAAAACCCATATAGATCCAAATATAATCATAAACAGTACAATTATAATAAACGCGAAATCTGACATAATTAATTATTCACTTATTATATTAACATTTATATTAATATTTATTTAAGATATATAATTTGAAAGCGAGAACCCGGTACGTACGTCGTTCAAATAAAAACTAAACTGAAACTACTGCAGAAATCCACAAACTGCAAGGCGTGAAAAAGTTGATTTGAGAAAAATTTATAATGCAAATTTATCAGAACCAACATCTCATAATCACATCTTATCCACAAAATAGATTACAAGTTCTACAGCCATTTGGAACTAAGAACTTACTTTTCTTTGTGACGCACTACATTTCTCCAGATATAAAAGTAGATATAACACGTGTGCTAATAAAGATAAAAAAATTGTACAGATTAACATTATGATAACACTTACTTATACATATCATTATAATTATACTCACTGCGTTTCTCTAAATATAAAATAATTTCTTTCTTATTAAACACAATTTAAAAAAAAAAATTTAGAATCTTAAGAAAAATGTATATAGGTATAATATATAGATATAATATAAATTTTAATATTTAATAAAATAAATTTTATTATTAATTAAATTTTAATATTAAATAAATTATAATATTAAATAAATTTTAATATTTAATAAATTTCTACGTTAAATAAATTTTATTATTAATTAAATTTTATTAAAAAATGATTGTACCGTTTATCTTTGGATTATCTTTAGATTTTATTACATTCCAACAGTCCTTCATTTCTACCATTTTCGCAACAAATCAAGTTTATGGAAATATATTTAAGCTCAAAATTAAATCCAATCAAATTTATTATTTAATAAAAATTTGCTTTCTAAGTAAATCTAAGAAATGAAATCGTTTTAGGCTACTATATGCCTTATATGTTGCGCAGGCATCAATTAATAAATGATTGCAGTCTTCTTTTGATTTCGGAGTCAGCAGGTTTTAATTTATATAGGCATAGCGATTTGACGCATACGTTAAAAATTTTTACCTTGGTGTTGGTACGTATATTGTGGGCCCGCATATGTTGCGCAACCTAGCAAACATTACTCGCGCTTTTTGAATGCGGCTATTGATGTCCTTCTTCGCACCCCCATAAACCGATAAAATACTCCCTAAATAAGTAAAGCTCTCGGTGTCTACGATGTGATGCCCATTAATTGTAAAGCGAGTTAAGTTTTTGGT